TTTTGGAAGCTGTGCCATCTTTAATGTACTGTATTATGGACATTTTTTTCTTTTATTGATGCACTGTGTGTTATTTATTGTCATGTTTTATTACTGCATTCCTATAGATATTTATCTTAAAATTCCAATCAACTCAGGGAAAATAGGTAGAGATAAAGACAGCAACAACTTCACATTAAATTTCAGCATGTACAAGAACACTTTCAAATAATGCACACACACACGAGGGGACTTCAAAACATTTGTGGAAAAGTCCCATCATTTTTCAACTCTAAAATTTTTTTGTATAATGGGAAAAATTATAGTATTCAGAAAGTGACAGAATATTACCTGAGAAAATATTCTGCTGTCTCACAATATTTGACTATATAAACTTAACATGACTATGATATGTTTAGCAGAAAATGAAGTTAAATTATATGCTTATTACATTCTAATTCATGCGACCCTTTACATATATTGAAAATTCTTGCATAGTATTGTACAAATAGTGGTTATTTGACTCCATATCAAAATGTTAATGCCTAAGAAATCGATTAACCATGGCGTGGCCTGTTTGGATGGCTACGTAGACACAGGTATCACTCTTCCAAGGCTGTGGCCAGATGGTGGAAAAGCATGCTATCAACCAAATCCTGGGGTTATTTTATGATCTGAAATGAAAGTCACAGTAAAATCTTAAAAATATGCTAAATCAAACCAGATGTAGAAAGATTTTGTTAAAATGTCAAAGCAACTGTAAAGGACTAGTTCTGTTATTATTTGAATAATAGTCAACTTAAGGCATTAAAATAACATCAGTATTGAAGTATAACATAAACTCTTCCAAAAGCAAAATAAAATAAAGCATAGATTTTATATCATTAATAGAAGTCTGACCCATTTTATTTATTGTAATAAAATTATATCCTACCACAATTTCCTCAAATTCTTTATATTACTTTTCTTTATTGACCACATTAATACAGAATACTGTTAATTTCTAGATGGTTTCATTATATATAGTATGTATGACTTTTGAAAATGAAAACATACTGATTTTTTAATTTTTGATTAGTGTATTTGTCATAATTTCCTTAGGGTATCTTCTGTGATTGTCAGCATGCAACCTTTATGATTTAGAAATTTGGTTACTATTATCTCTGTTCATTTTCTAGGTTGTTGTTATTGTTGTTAGGTGCCATATAGTCAGTTCTATAGCGATGCACAGAATAATGAAACAGTGCCTGGTCTTGTGCCATCCTCACAATTGGAGTTATATTTAAGCACATTTTTGCTGCCTCTGTGTCAATTCTTGGTGGAATTCTTCCTCTTTTTTGCTGACCCTCCACTTTATCACATGTGATATCCTTTTACAGATCCTTCCTGACAAAAATGTACAAAGTGTGAGAGACAAAGCCTTGACATCCTTGCTTTTATTTATTTATTTGTTTTTTCAATTTAGTACCACTGGCAAAAAATAAAAAAAAAAACAACAACTATTTATTAAAGTATATAGAGAACACTTGTTTGCTTAAATTTTAATACTGCTTTACATGTTTTCTTTTTGGGAAACAATTCCTATTTTATTTATAACCAAAAATTCCAACTGATTACAGATTTATTTAATAGTCACTCGCCAAATACACAGTTGATCATCTCGAGGTGAAAATACATCAAAGGAATATGTACAATTATGTTGTTGTTGTTGTTAAGTGCCGTCGAGTCGGTTTCGACCCATAGCGACCCTGAATAGGGTTTCCGAGGCTGTAAATCTTTACGGGAGCAGATCGCCTCATCTTTCTCCCGCGGAGCAGCTGGTAGTTTCGAACTGCTGACCTTCCAGTTCGCAGCCCGATTCGTAACCACTACGCTACCAGAGCTCCTTTATGTACAATTATAGAAGTTCTTATTATACGTGTAGCATGGAAGATATACTTTGAAACAACATTTAATACTTTTTACATATTCTAGAAGACATTCAAATGAAGATAAATAGATTCTAATTGGTTGACAAACTGTTCTGGTTCTTGAGGTCCTTTGCTTTATTTTTTGTGATCAGAAAATCCAAAATTATTAATGTGGAATTTCTCATCATACATTCATCTAAAAACACAGTGAATAAATACTTATAAAGGGAGACTGTATGTTGGTTAATTTGTATATTTTATATTTTAAAACACTGAATGTTTTAAAATTGGGAATGGTGTGTGACAAGGTTGTGTTCTTTCACCATTCTTGTTCAATATGTATGATAGCAAATAATATGAGAAGCTGGGTTCTATGAAGGAAAACGTGGTGTCAGGATTGGAGGAAGACTTATTAACAACCTGAGATATGCAGATGATACAACCTTGATCGCTGAAAGTGAAGAGGACTTAAAATATTTACTGATGAAGATCAAAGAGCACAGCCTTACATATGGATTACAACTCAATGTAAAGAAAACAAAAATCCTCACCACTGGACCAATAAACAGCATTCTTATCAATGGAGAAGAGATTGTGGTTGTTAAAGACTTCATTCTTCTTGGATCAACTATCAACACTTGCGGAAGCAGCAGTCAAGAGATCAGACGACGTATTGCATTGGGCAAATCTGCTGCACAGGAACTTTTTAAAGTATTGAAGAGCAGAGATGTCAGCTTGAGGACTAAGGTGCTCCTGACCCAAGCCGTGGTATTTTCAATAACCTCATATGGATGCGAAAGCTGAACAGTGAATAAGGAAGATGGTTGAAGAATTGATGCCTTTGAGTTGTGGTGTTGGAGGAGAATACTGAAAGTGCCATGGACTGCCAAAAGAACCAATAGATCTGTTTTGGAAGAATTGCAACCAGAGTGCTCCTTGGAGGCCAAGATGGCTAGGCTTCGTCTCTCCTACTTTGGACACATTGTCCGGAGAGAACAGCCGCTGGAGAAGGATGTCATGCTGGGTAAGGTGGAGGGTCAGAGATAAAGAGGAAGACCCCCAACGTGATGGATCAGCCAGGTGACATCATTGATGGCGTCAAGTGTGGCAACGGTAGTGAGGTTGGCCCAGGATCAGACATTGTTTCGTTCTGCTGTGCGTGGGGTAGCTATGAGTCGGTTCTGACTCGATGGCACCTGACAACAACAACAACATATCCAATTAATTGAGTGCTGGGGAAATCTGCTAGAGAAAGAAAAAATTCAGGGGGGGACCATTCTCCCAGTAATTTAAATCCAGTAAACAAAATGAAAACAAACAAGCAAAGTAGTTGCAAAGCCCCATGATGCTATTGACACCCTTGCTTTTAAGGAACATTCTGATCATACTTCTTCAGAGCTATGTTTGTTCTTCTTGCAGTTCATGACAGTTTCAATATTCTTCTCCAACCTCATAATTCAAATGCATCCATTCTTCTGTGATCTTTCTTCTTTATTGTCCAACTTCCACATGCATATGAGGTGATTGAAAATACTACATCTTGCTTCGGGCACATGTTAGTCCTCAAAATGATATCTTTACTCTTTAACACTTTAAAGAGGTCCTTTTGGGGGCAGGTTTGGCTAATGAACTATGGCCTTTGATTTTTTTTACTCCTGTTTTCATGAGCATTGATTGTGGATCTAAACAAAAATGAAGTTTTTGACAAATTCAATCTTTTCTTAATTTTTCCTGATGTTATTTATTGGCCTAGTTGAGAGAATTTTCATTTTCTTTATATTGAGTTGCAATCCATACTGACTGCTTTAGTTTTGATCTTCATCATTAAGTATTTCAAGTCTTCTCTACTCTTCCAGCAAGAATGTGCCATTTGCATACTGTAGGTTGTTAATGAGTCTTTCTCCAAATCTAATGCCATGTTCTTTTTCATGTAATCTAGTTTCTCAGATAATTTACTTGGCATACAGATTGAATAAGTTATGTTGAAACACTACAACCACAGCACATACCTTTTGCTGATTTCTAGCAATTAGATATCCCTTTTCTGCTAGAACAGCTGCCGCTCAGTCTTTGTACAGTTTCCTCATGCTGTAATTTATTATTCATAAATATATAAACTTCATGGTTATGTCAGTATAAATTGTTCTATGTGATTTGATTATGAATTTTTGCTTTAAGAAGTTGATTTCTAGATTTTCTGGGAATCTCATAAATGTCATTTTAATTCAAAGGTGTTTTTTTTAATATATTGACAAAATAAAGTCGATATATGGGTTGCATTTTTCTGTTGTATATTTAATTGTGTTCATTTGTTTTCATTACTACTACTATGTTGTTGTTGTTAAGTGCCGTAGAGTTGATTCTGACCCATAGCAACCCTGTATAGGGTTTCCAAGGAGCAGCTGGTGAGCTTGAACCACTGACCTTGCAGTTCAAATGACTTTGCAGTCTGACGTATTAGCCCATAGTAACTAATAAATCATACTGACCAAATAACATGTTAGAATCTCAGCCTTGCTAAATTATTCTAATGGATGTGTTCAATTTCTAGTTTTCTAAAAACTATAAAATTTCATATACTAAATTATTAGTATTCCAATTTAGACATAGCATTTTCATGTAAAAAATAAGCACATCATCATATATTGCCTAGACTCTCCCCTATCTCAGGGTTGTTCAATGAATATGAAATTAAACTAAGAGAATGAAGACTCGTCAACTAAAGGCAGTATAATTCCACATTTTTGACTGTCTGGAATTCCTGTTACATGAATAAATTAAACTCAGATCTAATTATGATGTTTCTATGACAATGAGAGTTACTTTTGCTTTAGCTACATTGTTGTTGCTGTTTTTGTTACGTGGCATCAAGTCTGTTCCAATCCATAGCAACCCTGTGTAAGGTTTCTGAGGAGAGGTTGGTGAGCTTGAACTGCCGACCTCGTAGTTCAAAGCAACTTTGCAGTCCAGCATGTTAACACACAATGCCATAGTTTTATTCCAAACATTGTAATACAAGTGCATGTGTAATTTTAACATAATTGGAAACCTAAAAGAAGGTTTAATAAACTGATCAGTTACATATTTATTAATAACTATTATGCATTTCAGATGGCTGATCACACTGAAGTGATGAAAGGCATTCATCAATATCCAGGCATTCGATATCCTGTCCTTACTCCTAATCTTCAGGGTTTTCATCGTGCTGTAAGTGTGTGCTAATTTTTATAAAATTAGTATGTCTTTTGTTATTTTAAAGATCTTTACAAAGTGAAAGCATGTTAAATGCCACTGGCTTATTATCCTGCATAGATATTATAGTTTGTGTACTAGCACATGAAGATGAGTAACCTTGTGGTACTATCAGGTACAAAAGCACTCCACATAAATATATCTTTCCATTTATTCTTCCAAAATTGAAAACATAAAAGTACAAGTATCCTTTTTGATTAAATTTCTTTTTAAAGTGGATTTTCCTGCTTAATAGGAAATAGAGATACTTAAACATTTCTGGCAGTGTTTCGTTCTGCTATGTATAAGGTCACTATGAGTTGGTACCAACTCGATGGCACCTAACAACAACAAACATTTCTCACTGCAGTACTGTAATTATTAATATCATTGAACTGGATAATTATTTCTGTAAACTTTATCCCTGTCAGCTTTTGTTGTTGTTTCTTTCATTCTATACGAAGCTAGGCGTTGACATTTTATCCATCTCTGATATCTCCCCGTACCTCTTCTACCTTGTTTCTTCCAATTTTCTGTTACACAGAGATTTATATGTACGAAAGCTTTAATGATTGCTCATAGAGAAATATGAATACACTTTTGAGAAAAGGCTTGGGGTACTATGCTTACATGATTTTATTATAAATGTTTTACAGTAACAATTTCTTGTATCAATTGTCTGTTGTTTTCAATTCCTGATTTGAAATGCTGGAGTGCTAGATGGTATATCATTTGTTAGTAAATCTCGTTAGAGCTATTTGTATTTTTTTCTTTTGTTCAAATTGACATAATTTTATTTGCTTCTAGAAAAAAAAAAGAGACAGAAGCATTTTTAAAAAGTTGTAAATTTTGTTGTCATCCAATACCATCATAGTAGGGAATATTTTCACCTGGAAAGACCCTTCAGGAAAAATAATCCATGAAATGGATCAAATATTGGCTTATGCTCAACACACAGTGCTAGAATTGGTGCTACCTCTTTTAAAAAGCCACAGTTTTCTCATCATTACAATGGACATAATACTTGATTTACAAGGTTATTTGTCGATTAGAAATCAACATGTAAAGTACTAACACATAGTACTGGCACATAGCTGTTGAATAATATATAGATATACTTTTCGATTTGAGAACTAAAATATTATTTGGAATAGATGAGTAAAGTCAATATGTTTAAATGTTGGAGAGAAGATGATAGAATAACATGCTTTTTCAGTTTATTAATAGAACATCAGAGATCGCAGGGAACATAGGCACAGTGTTAGAGATAAATTAGCAGGGGATATTAAAACTCCAGCTGAAACACTTAGAAGCCTGATATTGTGGGAAAAAAGGCCACTGGAGAAGCTTGGGGGAAGGAGTAAAGTTGATGACAGGGACAAAAGAGAAAGTTGATTTGGTTCCTATTTTGGAATTAAAGACAGACAAAGGGATTAGAGAGGGAGATACAGTATGGCTTGGCTATAACAGTCAAGGTGTGAAACAATATGAACTAGGTTAAGAGATAGTAAGAATATATCAGGCAAAATTTGAATGATAGATTTGAAAACAGTATTTGTTAGATGATGGGAAGAGAAGAAAAAAACAAAAAGAATATACTATCCCATGTTTCAATAATTGATTTTAAAATAGTGTTTTTCGTAGATTTTAAGAGACTGCATTGTGGTATCTAGTGTTTTACATGTTGTTGTTGTTGGGTGCCATAGAGTCAGTACCTACTCAGTGACCCTATGCGCAACAGAACGAAACACTACGTCACAATTGTCGCGCTTGAGCTCATTGATGCTGCCACTTTTTCAGTCCTTCTCTCTGGGGGTTTTCCTTTTTTTCTCTGACCCTCCACCTTACCAAACATGATATCCTTCTCCAGTGACTCGTCCTTCCTGACAATATGTCCGAAGTATGAGAGGCAAAGTTTGGCCATCTGGCCTTCCAAGGAGCACTCTGGCTGTACTTCTTCCAACACAGATCTGTTTGTTTTACATAATTAGGATTAAAGTATTTATGAAGCTAACATGTAATTCAGGAAAGGCAAAATTAAATTGGAACAGCATCAATGTATTTTCTGTGCCACATAAATTTATGAGTATTGCAACTTGTGGAATCATTCTGTTATAAAACATTTTACATTTCAAAGGTATGTATGTGAAACGATGAAATGAATCTAATTTCAAATCCTAAGGCAGATGTTAAAGAGTACAAATACCATTTACAGTTTAAAAATGATTGGATTTTGCCTTTATATTTTTCAGGTTGCTGCAGGAGCCACTGAGATATCAGTGTTTGGTGCTGCTTCCGAATCCTTTAGTAAGAAAAATATTAACTGTTCAATCGAAGAAAGCATGGAGAAGTTTGAGGAAGTTGTTAAGTCTGCAAAACACATGGGTGTTCCAGCAAGAGGGTACTTAAGAATTCGCACAGATTCTTTCTATTTTGTTTGCTTCTATTGTATTGTTAAAAGCTCTTTCTGAAATATTTAGACATTATTTAGTCAGTTATAATACTATACGTAGGGTATCTTACTTGTTTGGGGCCATCATTATATTGTCACATCTTGTTAGTATCAGTTAATGATTGTTAGAGTTATCAAACTTGAGAAAGGCATAATGCAATTGAGATAAGAGGCGTTATCATGTACATGATATTATTAACCATTTCATTAATACTCAGTGATCCAAATGCAGCCCTAGAGTGAGCAGATAAATTGGTCTAAACTCATAGTAGCTGTTGGAAAGGAATTATTAAATGTTTATTTTAGTAGATTTCACTGTTGTAGTTTTTAAGAAGCATAACAATTTTTCAAAGAAAATTTCATGTAGAATTTCAGCAAAGCATGGTCAGAAGTTCAAAACCACCAGCTGTTCTGAGGGAGGAAGATGAGGCTTTCTGCTCCTGTAAAAATTTACAGGTGCAGAAACCCTGTATAGGGTCATTATGAGTCGGAACTGACTCCACAGCACATAACAACAACAATGTAAAACATAAAATTAAGCCCTTGATCTGCACTGGAAAGTTCAACCCATCAATTCACCCATTCAGTCTCCCCCTCACAACCTGACATTCTGCCTTCTTTGTGCGACCTCAAAGCACCCTGTCAACATTTCCTCCCTGTGGTTACCCATGTACAAATATCCTCTTTCAAACTCTTATTTATTTGTGGAATATATAAGTCTATATATCCTACTCTTCTCCCATTCCCCTTTAGCCTGTGTTCATATATCTACTCACAAAAAACTGGTTGTGTGACATATCAGTATTTACCTGTATCCCCCTTAACCCTTGCATACCTCCCTGTGTCTTCACCTGCCCTCATTATTTTTCTGCCAACCTCCCTCTTCTTGTATATTGCCTTCTCCATCACTCCGAGTCTACCCTCTAGCCAGTGAATTACTCTCCCTTTCCACCCTCCCCTGATAACCAAAAAAGAATGTTTCTTTTAGTATGAAAAGCTTTGCTTGAGTTTTAACAATAGTTTTGACCTTTTTGTGATAGACTGATTTCACTCAGTATAATGTCCTCCAGGTTCACCCGTTTTATGAGGTGTTTTTCTTCATAAAATTAATCGTCATACTTCAACATTGCATAGTATTCCGCTATGTGTATGTACTGAAGTTTGTTTTTCCACTCTTCTATTGATGGGCGTTAATGCTGTGTTGACCTAGCCTATAATTTTTACATAAGCAGATCACCGGGTGTTTCTCCCTTGGACCAGCTAGGTGCCTTAGGAGACTAGCACTTATCCACTGTACCACCAGAGATCTCCTTCTTTTACAAAATCATTTTGTTCTTGTTGTGCTGGTGAGCCAGTTTCATTCATTACTACCCTGTTTAGGGATTCTAAAAAAGGTTGGTGGGTTTGAACCATCAACTTTTTAGCTAGCAGTCTAGTACTTTATCCTACAGCCACACACCAGGGCTGTAATCATCTTATCTCTCTATATAAAGCATTATTGTTGTTGTGTTTCATCTTTTCGGCCCCAATTCATAGTGTAAGAAAGGTGATGCTTCCTGCTTCTGTAAATATTCACAGCCTTGGAAATCCTATACAGGGTTGCTATGAGTTAGAGCTGACTCACTTCAGGAGGAATTGACTTGATGGTAGTAGATTCAGTATTTTGTTGTTAATCAACTAAACTAGTTTCCTTTGAGTTAATTCTAACTCACAATGACTCCACATCTGTCAGAGTAAGATTGTGTTCTTGGGTTTTCCGTGACTGGTTTTTTGAAGTAGAGCATTGGGTGTTTCAAGGCAAGCTTCTAACTTCTGGGTTACCAGTTGAATGTATTAGCAGTTTTCACCTCCCCACACAGAAATTCCCAATAGATCTAATAGAAGATCTAAATTACCTTTAGTCTCTATTGTTAAGTGTTGCGCCCCAGGATAATGTGCTGGACTGCAAGGTCAGTTTGAACTGCAAGGTCAGAACCGACTTGACGGCACTCAACAACAACAAATCAATTTTTAAAAATTCACTAACCATGCTACATCTTAAAAATTCTCCAGGCTTTGTTCAGCAGGCTATAATGGATAGGTACAAAATTAACAAGAATTGACACACAGAAAAAACAAATCTTTAAACTACGATGGATTCTTACTGAGTTATGTGATATACACTGAAGTCCTGATGTGGCGCTGTAGGATAAGTAACCGACTGCTAACCACAAGTTTGGCAGTTCAAACCCACCACCTGTTCCTTGGAAACCCTATACAGGGTTGCTTTAAGTTGGAATTGCCTTAATGGCACTTAACAACAACAACGTACACATGTATTTTTTCCCATGCAGATTGTATTCGTTTGGAAAACAATTCTTGAATTTTCTAAAGTATGTTTCATTTTAGAGCTATGTTTTTCAATAAGTGAGTTCACTATTTATTTTGTACATTTGAAAATAATCCTCTTCCTCCCCTACATCTTTACAGAGTTTTAATTATTTTTTCTGGCAATTTAAATTTGAGGTACCCATTATTATAAGTCATAGGCCTCTGGTACTTGTATACATAAAAAAAAAAAAAGAAAAAATCCACGCTCAACTATTTGGAACTGCAATAGATGTGTCAGCGTATCTTACTATATCAACAGCTGCATCAGTATGTACTTAATCATCTTTCAGAAAATTCATGTTGTCAGCTGTCAGACTTAAAGGGCATAAGGCAATAGACATTTTATAAATGCACACTTGTTGTTGTTGTTAAGTGCCATCGAGTCGGGTCCGACCCATAGCGACCCTGTACAGGGTTTCCGAGGGTGTAAATCTTTACGGGAGTAGAAAGCCTCATCTTTCTCCCGCGGAGCGGCTGGTAGTTTTGAACCGCTGACCTTAAGGTTCGCAGCCTGATTCGTAACCACTACGCTACCAGAGCTCCTTAAACTATTTAAATCTTTATAAAAATAGAGAATATTCATATAGTTTAAATTGTAGCTTTTATTAAGTTATGAAAACTATTATTTGTTTCTCCCACTCCCCAGCACACGCACATACACATACATGTGCATTTTTCATACATGCTCCATATTCTACGTATTATTTGGGACATATGCTAGAAAGATACCATGCCAAATCAATGATGTAAAGTACAGAGTCAGTTAACTATTGCTGTATATACACTATGAAATGCCTGCATTTTGGACTTATTTCTTTAATATGTAATTCACATGACATATGGAGAAAACAAAATCTAGGTTATTTTTCTAACATCTCTCTCCATTGGAAAAGATAAGGCAAAGGGAAATGAAAACATCTGATCAATGTGTTTATTTTCTAACCTCTTATCTGTGGCATTTATTGAAAGAAATTACTATCAGTTTTTTATGAACCTTTCAAAATTGAAATGCCTCAAGACATGAACTGTTTTAGTTGATGTTAAGTACTGTTGAGGAGCTCTGGTAGCGTAGTGGTTACGAATTGGGCTGCGAACCTTAAGGTCAGCGGTTCGAAACTACCAGCAGCTCCGCGGGAGAAAGATGAGGCTTTCTACTCCCGTAAAGATTTACACCCTCGGAAACCCTGTACAGGGTCGCTATGGGTCGGAACCGACTCGACGGCACTTAACAACAACAACAACAACAAGTACTGTTGAGTTGGTTCTGACTCATGGGAACCCTGTATAAGACTTCTGAGGAGCAGCTTGTGGTTTAGAACCTCTGACATTATGGTTCATAGTGCATTAGCCTGCAGAGCCACACCAGGACTCCATAGGATTATTTATTTTAAAAGTGTCAGTAAGGTGACCTTATTAATTTTGTTGTTAAAATAATTATAAATGAATACGCTTACAAGATAATCAGGTATAAACCATGCATAAACCACAAAAACTTCTGTTGCATAATTATGTCATGGTTTATAACTTTAGGCCTAGAATCATTTGACCCATAGTTGACCTGAAAGTCTCGGCATACTGAAGGTTGAAAGTAGTGTGTTTTTTAATATTTTCCAAATTACTCATCTATTTTTTTTTAAAAGAAAAAAACATGAAATGCAAAAGTGCTTAGCTGTGAACCAAAGCGCCAGAAGGTTAAAAAAAATTCTCAGAAAAAAAGGGAATATGCAAAGTAACTGACTCCAGAATAAAAGGCAAATAAGTAATAAAACTAATTTAGACAGTCATAGACAACTTTTAGAAACAGAAAGACAGTATCTGCTTTATTTTAGTCATAACTTCTTTGTAAAGTTTGGTAAATATTTCTTTGTACTTAGCAGATGTTAGGAACCTTGGTGGTGTTATGGGATAAACACTCACTCGGCTGGCAGTTCAAACCCTCCAGCTGCTCCACAGAAAGAAGAGGCTTTGTGCTCCCGTAAAGATTTACAGCCTCAGAAACCCTATGCAGAATTTCTATGAGTCTGAACTGACTCAATAGCATGAATGGGTGAGTTAGAAGTCAGAGATTCATAGAGAGAAAATAAAATAAGAATGAACATTTTACTTACTTCTTAATTTACTATCACCCTCACCACCTACTTTTTTTCTTAGCCAAAATCAATGAAAATTCAATTTGAGTTCAAAGCCTTCCCAAAAAAGATGGTTGCATGGTTGCCTAACTGTATTATTGGAAGCTTTTAAGATAGTAATCACTGTGAATTCTATGAAGCAAGGTCACGTTCTTCCTCTTCTAAAGGTCACTTTTCACTTTAATGTATGGCTTTCATTTTGAAACATGATTTATAACTCAACCTATATATTTAAGTTCTTTCAACCTGATTGCTGAGTGAGCTAACCGTCTAGGTCATGTCGCACTGACTTTGTGTTTCCTAACTTCGCTCTTTCATGCAGAATGTTATTATGGGTGCTGTCCCGACCCTAAAAGGAATAGCAGTCCTATTAAGTGAAATAATGAACTCTCTTATTTAAGGCTCCAATTTTTAATATAGCGACTAGCAGGCAGTGTTTTTCATGACAGA